ATCAGGAGGCTGTGTTTGCTGCCAGCACTTCACGTCCTCCCACACGCGTGTCTAACATCACGCATGAGATCTGCATTCGTGTCACTGATAAAAGCACCATCAACTGCTCTGTGTGTGTGTGTGTGTGCATGTTAGCATTAGTTTGAAGGACATTTCTTTATAACCCTGCATTGACTTTGTGTATAATACTTGTGGAATGCATAAAATAAAGCACACTGATGTAATGCATCCCATGATGCAGCAACCTTGACCTTCTGTTCCAGTGTGACAAATGAACCATGAGTAATTACAGCAATGGTTTTCAACATTTTCACTGTGTATTTGATTAGGCTTTAGACGTTTTTTTCCCCAACAAAATTTAAAATAACAAATTATTTCTCCAATAATAACTGTATTGATTTATACATGCATCAGTGGTTGCTGTTTATATATATGCATAATGCTTAATGTTTCACATCATTCTGTCAACTCTATTGGGTTGGTTGAACTATTGCATGTAAAAAAAAGTTTACGTTACATAACAAAAAAGGTGGCACAGTAACACTTCTGAAGTGGCATTTAGGTGCCTTTACACAGACAGTTTAATGCTGCTCAGAGGTGGCATAAATGCTTTACACAGCAAGTATAACTGCATACTTCGATATTAGGGGCTAAGCAGGAAAACTTTAGTCTGGCTTTAATGCGGCATTGCATCTTTACACTTTATTTTGAGCAGGCACAGAGCAGCCTTAACTCAGACTAATTAAACTGCAAAGGTGGCACAGAAGCACTTCTAAAGTGGCATTTAAGTGTCTTTAATGCGGCTCAGAGGCAGCATAAATGCATTTACACTGCAATTACAATTGTACACTTTGACATTAAGGACAGGTGGGTCAGAGCCTGCATAATTTTGTCTGGCGTTTACATTGAACTTTACGTTTGAACTTTACATGTCTTTACGCTGAGTTTTGAGCAGGCACAGAACAGCCTTAACTCAGCTGTGTAAAGATATCTTAAAGTTCTACATCACTATTAATTGTATAGTAATGTTTAATACTGCTCAGCGGTGGCAGAAATGCTTTTACTCAACACTTACAACTGTACACTTTGATATTTAGGACTGAGGTGGGTCTGAGCAGGCATAATTTAGTCTGGCTTTTATGCGGCATTGCATCTTTACACTATATTGAGCAGGCACTGAGCAGCCTTAACTTGGCTGTGTAAAGACACCTTAAGAACGTTCTACCTCACTATTATGTAATGTTAATGCTTAGACAAATTAAACTGCAAAGGTGGCACAGAAGCGCTTCTGAAGTGGCATTTAGGTGCCTTTACACTGATAGTTTAATGCTGCTCTGAGGTGGCATAAGTGCATGTCCACAGCAATTACAACAGTTTTGTATGGCTTTTAAACAGCGTTTTGCACGCTTTTACATGTCTTTTTGTTCCAAACAACCAATCACTGTATATACTGGATTTGTTTTTCTTTTTCATTATTTGATTTATGATTTTGTTAACATCTATTATGGCGTAACAGGAATATCTTCCTCCGCCCTGTAACCTCTATAAGTGCATCAGATGGAGGTTTAATGTGAATCAAAGACCTGCTGTGCTCCTTCCAGACCCACTCACTGTTTGACTTTGGCCGGCGTGAAGATGAGACGCTCTTGGCTCAAATCCTCGCTTCGGTATCCAAGCGCAGTGGCTCCGCGCCCAGTGACTCAACCTTTAACTGCGCGCCAGTGCAGGAAAAAACAGAAAAACAAACAGCAGCCATGTAATTTATTATCACCCACTCCCGCTGATACCAAATAACCTGATTAAATCTGCCCGTTACAGCCAGCTGATATATTTACCTTGTTCAATCTGGAATTCATCTCACTTATAGCAAAATCAATCGCTTCACTAGAGTATTAATGCAAGTGCATTAGGAGTAACGGATTAAATAAACGAACGATAATGAGCTGTACATCAAGTCAACATGACAACACAACAGTGCTATTTTAGTGCCATTGAGATACTGTTACAGTTTTTATTAATATTTTGAATCAGCTCTATTTTTAGATTTTCTGTTTTTATTTTAATTTGAGGTAAAATTTTGTAATTTTGTTGTGTGTTTTTGTCAATTTTAGTAGTTTATTTTAAACTAAATTAAAATGATAAATGTTCCATAACTGAAATTTTTTTTTTTTAAATTTCAGTATTTCAAGTAACAAAAAAGTTTTTTTTTTTTTTTTGGTTTTACTATAATAACCCTGCAACAAAAGCCATTTTACTTCTATAAAACGTTGACGTTTTTAATACATAACATGATTTTCAACAAGAAAAAGAAATAGAATAAGATGAGACAAAAAATATTTTATTAGCATTTTTGTCTTGTTTTTCATAACAAATATCTAAAAAGAAATGTAAATCAAGATACAATAAATTGAGAAGCAAAAAAAAGAATTTTTTTTCACATTTTTTTTCTTCTAAAAATAAAGATAAAAAATAAAGTTTTGATAAAATAATTTTTTTTTTTTTTTAAGCATAAACTCACTTGATGCATTTTTTCAGAAAACAAGACTTACTATTTCAAGTCATTTTGCTCAAGTAAAAAGTTTGATTTATGAATGTTTAGCGATATGTACTGGGAAACAAGACAAAAATCATTTTTTGCGCTATAGGTGCAAACATGAAAAATGGGAATTTCATACTAGAATTTGGAGTGAGGTTTTGAAAACTAAGAGGTTTTGTGATTTTGGCTGAAAAAGGGAAGGTAATTTTAGAGATGAATTATGAGAGCAAATATATTATGAGTGATTCATCGGGAATGAGACCATAAAGTAAATGGTGTAAGTGTTGATTTTGAGGCCTGTGACTAAAATGCTGAAACTCAGACACTGTGTGACCTAGAAAATAAGAAACATGTTACAGACTCTGTTGTTTATGTGTTGTATTGGATTCTGAATGACTCAGTCACTGCAGTTAATTCACCACCTACATGATGTGTCACGTCTGAAGATTGGTCTGATGTGGCGATAAGCAGCGCAGAGTCTTCACTTACCTCTTCTTGTGGCGTTTTTCAGCCTGGCATTAGTGTTATATAACTAGCCGAGTGCAATTCATCAGCAGTCTGTCCTATTATCAGAACATGTGAGGATGATAAACACTGTATTAGTATGCGCTGTTGGCTTTTCCAGTCAGTAGCGCCGGTTCTTCTCTTACGTGGAAATGAAAAACTGCTGGCATGCCAGATAATAACCCCTTTTATGTAATGGAGGTTATGCATAATCATCCACTTGCATTCAGCCGGCGCTCGGCCTCATGGACTCTCAGAGGTTTTATGGGCATTTCAGGGACGATTTTCTAGGCACATCCTCCGGCCTGCTGCGATTACGTGATCAGATTAACGAACGAGTGCAGTGAGCCGAGAAATTAGCATGTCATGTGCAGAACACAACATGAGGCTATTCGAAACAACATTTCTGTGTTTTTAGGTTGGCATCATTGGAACGATTTTAGGCACTTCAGGTGTACTTATTAAAAATGTCTGAATGTCATTGCATTAAACAGTAATATGCAACTAGATGAGTAAAGTTTGTGAACAAACTTTGAAGTTGGCTTGAGAAAGCCTAGCCTGAAAGTTTGAAGCAGTTGTAGATGTTGCTAGCATGATTTAACATGTTGTTAGCATGTTGCCAGCATACTTTAGCATGATTAGCATGTTGCTAGCATGACTAGCATGTTGCTAGCAAGTTTTTAACATGATTAACATGTTGTTAACATGTTTTTGACCTGATTAGCATGTTGCTATCATGTTTTAGCATGATTAGCATTTTGTTAGTATGATAAGCACGTTGCTAGCATGATTAACATGTTTTTAACATGTTAACATGATTAGCATGTTGTTATTATCTTTCTAGCATGATTAACATGTTAGCATGTTTTGACATGATTAACATGTTAGCACTTTTTTAACATGTTGCTAGCATGTTTATAGCATGATAAGCATGTTGTTACAATTTTGCTACCATGATTAGCATGTTGATAACATGTTGCTGTCATGATTACCCTATTGCTAGCATGTTTTAGCATTATAAGCATGTTGTTAGCATGACTAGCATGTTGCTAGCATCTTTCTAGTATGTTTTTGACATGATTGACTTGTTGCTAACATTTTGCTAACATGATTCGCATGTTGTTAACATGTTTACCATGTTGCTATCATCTTTCTAGCATGATTAGCATGTTGTTAACATATTGATAGCATGATAAGCATGTTGGTAGCATGTTGCTAGCATGATTAGCATGTTGTTAACATGTTGATATCATGATTAGCAAGTTACTAGCATGTTTTAGTATAATAAGCATGTTGTTAGCATGATTATCATGTTGCTAGCATGACTAACATGTTGCTAGCATCTTTCTAGTATGTTTTGGCATGATTGGCATGTTGCTAACATGATTAGCATGTTGTTAACATGTTGCTAGCATTATTGGCATGTAACTAAAACTAAATAAACTAAAACTAAAAACTATAAATTAAAAAAATTAGAATTAATAAAAAATTACATAGACATAAAAAAATAATAAAAATGACAAACACAACAAAATTAATAATTAATAAAAACTATGTAGACATAATTAGCATGTTGTTAGTATGTTTTAGCATGATTAGCATGTTGCTAGCATTGTTTATACATTGGTTGCATAATTTAGCATGTTGACCTAGAATAGTCATTTAAGATTTGCTGGTGATAGACTTAGATCACAGGAATAAATTACATTTTACAATGTATTCACATAGAAAACGGCTATTTTAAAGCCTTGGTGATCAGAAGAGACTTCTTTCAAAAACATCAAAAAATCTTAATAATTCCAAACCTTTGCTTTGAGATCAGTAGCATGTATATTAATAGTTGTACTTGTGTAATGATGTATTTGTGCATATGATATAGTAAAATCATTGACCTGATTACCTCTCTCTCTCTCTCTCTCTCTCTCTCTGTCCTCGTTCTCCCCTCCTCTGTGGTTCTCAGGTGTGTAGAGTGAAGTGGAAGGAGGCTCATGGCTTCATTATGGGGCCTGGGCCGGCTGGGGTGGCTGGGACTGGTTCTGGCCCTGACGGCCGTCCCGTGCGCGAGCTGCCCTCCTCGCTGTGACTGCGCGGCGCAGCTTCGCTCCGTGTCCTGCCAGCGAAAGCGCCTGTCTGGCGTACCGGAGGGTATCCCGACAGAGACCAGGCTGCTGGACCTGAGCCGGAACCGCTTGCGCTGGGTGGCTCCGGGAGATCTGGCTCCGTACCCGCGTCTGGAGGAGCTGGATCTGAGCGAGAACCTCATCAACACACTGGAGCCCAACGCCTTCGCCAGCCTGCAGGCCCTGCAGACGCTGAGACTCAGAGGAAACCAGCTGAAGCTCGTGCCCATGGGAGCCTTCGCACGGCTGGCCAACCTCACCACACTGGACCTGAGTGAGAACAAGATCGTCATCCTGCTGGACTACACCTTCCAGGATCTGCGCAGTCTCAAGAACCTGGAGGTTAGTCCCTATAAGCCAGTTCACTTGGAGGCCAGCTTGTTTTCCTTTCTAGGACAGTGTTTCCTGAAACTAAAAGCATAAAAATTCATTTTCATTCACTGAACTGAAATAAAATTAAAAAATATATCAAATTTAATTTTTTTTTTATTTCAGCTAGTTTCCAAGGCAGCATTTTTAATTTTCATTTACTTGATGTACTAAAATAACTAAAACTGAAACACTGTTATTTTATTATCAGTCCAATGCTATTGTAGTTTTATTAATAGTTAGAACTGTTTTTATTTTTATATGTTGTTTTTATTTAAATTTTCTGAAATAAAAATTAATAAAAACTATATAGACATGTTTTAAAAAAAAAAAAGAACTAATGAAAATGACAAAATCACTCAACAAATTTACTAAAATTGTAATTAAATTAATATTAAAACAGAAAATATAAAAATAAAAAATGATTCAAAATATTAATAAGATCTATAATATCTCAATGATACTAAATAACATTGTGGGGAACTGCAGTGGGTTTATGAGCTGATAAAATGCAAATAATTAATTCAATTGTATGTAAAATCAAAATAAATAAATGGGGCTGCACAATTTATCAAAATAAATCTACAATCGTGATATAGCTTAGTGTGATTTCCACAGTAAATGCAGCAAAAATCTCTGTGAATTATTTGAAGTAATAGTGTGAAATAAAATGAGAAATATCAAATATTCGTTTTTTATTTTATAGTACAATTTTACAATTATTTTGTTTACCTGCATGTCATATAAACGTTAACTGACATCAGAGCAGGGTTATTATCGTTAATGAAAACTAAAACCACAAAAAAAATTCATTACGTGAAATAAAATATACATTGAAATTAAATAAACTAGAAAAACTTAATTATTTTATTTCAACTTGTTGCCAAGGCAACATTTCTCATTTTTGTTTAGTTTAAGTTGAAGTAGCACTGAAAGGGCTTCCCTCCATCCTCAGGAGAACCTGCAATAAATAAATAAACAAACAAACAAATAAATAATTAAATACATGAATAAAATACATGCATATAGAGTTTATACTAAATATTTTATAGATATTTAAAAAAAAAAAAAAAAAATTACAAAATTAATAATAAAAAAAACGATGTTGACATTTAAAAAAAGTTTTTAAAAAAACACTACAAAATTACAAAAATTTTAACTAAAATTAAAATGAAACCAGAAAAATATAAAAATAACATCTATTTAAAATATTAACAAAAACTATAACTATATTAATAATAGTAAAATACCTCTGCGTCATGCAACTAAATATTTTACGTCTAATTTACGTTTAGTTGTCACAGTAGTTTGGGAATCGCTGTTGTGTAGTACAGCTTCATCTGCTAAATCGTTTTTTATGAAATCGTCAATATTACATAACTCTAACATGCCAAATAAGCATTAAAATCCTAAATTGGGTTTATTCAGATATTGTGCATGTGTTCTGGAGAAAATCAAAAAAGCAATTGGTTCTTCAAATACAATTCCTTTAGTTGTGCATTTGTAAGCTTGCTCTGTCTCCTCATTGTGTGCTTTGTAAAATCACTTTAACTGTTGTCGTAATAACCATTCTGTCCTCATTCTCCAGGTGGGTGACAATGACCTGGTCTACATCTCTCACAAGGCTTTCTCAGGACTGATCGGTCTGGAAGACCTGACCATCGAGAGGTGCAACCTGACGTCCGTATCCGGCCAGACTCTGTCTTACCTGCGTAACCTCGTGACCCTGCGACTGCGCCACCTCAGCATCTCGGCCCTCGAGGACCAGAACTTCCGCAAGCTGTCTGCGCTGAGAGGCCTGGAGATCGACGGCTGGCCGTACCTGGAGTACATCTCGCCGCTAAGCTTCCAGGGTCTCAATCTGTCCTGGCTCTTCATCACCAACACCAACATCAGCTCGGTGCCGTCGGCCTCCTTCAGGAACCTGGCTTACCTGACGGCCCTGAACCTCTCCTACAACCCCATCTCCACGCTCGAGTCCTGGGCCTTTCGAGACCTCATCAGGCCGGTTTACATGTAGTTTATATGCTTACCTGCATGTCATGTGACCATTAATCGTTTCACAGTTCCCTAAATCCCTAAAAATACAAGTTCAGCTTCATCTGCTTACATGGGAAAAGAGTGTGAAACTGTTTGTCGGGATTACATAACTTTAATGTGTCAAATTCACAATGAATTAGGTTTATTTAGAAATGATGCTGACAAACTGTATTTACATTTATGCATTTAGCAGATGCTTCTATCTGAAGGAGAAACAAAAGCAATTCATCAAAGAGCCAACTCTTTTTAATATACAGTACAATGCCATTTATTAGACAACTAGATTGGAAAGGAAGGAATTGGTTATAGAATAGTTGGTATAGTTTTAATAATTATTTTTTATAATTTAGTTGGCATATTTTAAATCAATTTATTTCGTTTTTATTAAATGTCTATTTAGTTGTTCATTTTTATTTCAGTTTTTTAAATCATTTTCAGATTTATTATATATATATATATATAGTATTTTTCATTTTATTTTAGTTAAAGTCTAAAATTTTTTGGAATATTAGTAGCTTTTCCATTTGAATTTATTTGTATTTTTCATTTTATTTAATCATTTTTGTCAGGGATTTTTATATCGGTTTTATTAGTATTATAACATTTGTATAAATATTTTTTTTTATAGTTTTAATAATTCATTTTAATCATTTTTTTGTGTTTTTTTTCATATTGTAAATACTTTTTTTTAAATATGTTTATTTAATTTGTAATTTTTTAATTTATTTTTAGTTCTTTTCAGTTCTTTTCAGTTTTAGCAATTATATTTCAGGCTATATGAACATATACATATAATGTTAAAACAGTATTTTTGCAGGCTAGTCCAGATATTGTGCATGCGTTCCAGAGAAAAACTCAAGCAGAGACTTTCAATCAAACATCAGAGGCAGGACTTCCAATCCTTTAGTTAACCATATTATGCATTTAATAAACCTGGTCCGTTTCCGTCCAGGTGCTGTCAAACATTTTACTCATTAAAACCACATTAATTGCGGTCATAATAATAAAGCTGTCCTTGTTTTGCAGGCTGAAGGAACTTCACATGGTCAGCACCAACCTGCTCACCGTGGAGCCTCATGCTCTGGGAGGTTTACGTCAGATCCGAGTCCTGAACCTGTCCAACAATGATCTGGTGACTCTGGAGGAGAGCTCCTTCCACTCGGTCAACAGCCTGGAGACGCTCCGTGTGGACGGGAGCCCGCTGTCCTGCGACTGTCGTCTGCTGTGGATCCTGCAGCGCAGACGCACCTTAAACTTCGACGGGAAGATGCCGGTGTGCGCCGGACCACCGGAGGTGCAGGGATACCTGCTGAGCATGTTCACCGATTCGGCGTTATTCGACTACTTCACCTGCCAGAAGCCCAAGATCCGCAACCGGAAGCTGCAGCAGGTGACGGCTCACGAAGGCCAGCCGGTGTCGTTCCTGTGCCGCGCCGAAGGCGAACCCACGCCGGCCATCATCTGGATTTCGCCTCAGAGACGGAGGATCACTTCCAAGAGCAACGGCAGGATTACGGTTCTTCCCAGCGGGTCGCTGGAGATCCGTTACGCGCAGGTCACAGACAGCGGCACGTACATCTGTATCGCCAGCAACGCAGGCGGAAACGACACCTACTTCGCCACGCTGACCGTCAAAGGCCAGCCGGTGGATCCGGCGCTCTTCGCCAACCGCTCGCTGTACGCGGTGGACTTCAACGACACCGGGCTCAACAGCACGCGCGTTTTCCTCAAGTTCACGCTGGATTTAACCACCATCTTGGTGTCCACAGCCATGGGCTGCATCACTTTCCTGGGCGTGGTGCTCTTCTGCTTCCTGCTGCTGTTCGTGTGGAGCCGCGGACGAGGACAGCGCAAGAACAACTTCACCGTGGAGTATTCCTTCAGGAAGACTGAGGGACCCGCCACCACCGGCGCATCCGGAGGCACGCGCAAGTTCAACATGAAGATGATATGAAACCACGCAGCCAGGGGCCCCCTGGGAGAAGCATAGACGCCCAACGCTAACACACACAGTGCTGAATCGCAGAAATACACACGCCGTATGATCGCAGAAACGTGACGACCGCGCAGTGTTATTTTAATATCATTAAAATAGGATTTTATATATATATTCATATTTATGAATTGGTTTTTATTTTTATATTCTGTTTTCAATTTGCTTTGAATTAGAGTTAGGGATTTTGTTGGTTTTATTACTTTTTTACTAGTCGGTTTTATTTTTGTGTGTGTGTGTGTGTATATATATATATATATGTATATGTGTGTGTGTGTGTGTGTGTGTATGTATATTCTGTTTTTATTTTAATTTTAGTTATTTTAATAATTTTGTTGAAGGTTTTTGTCAGTTTTATTTATTAATTTATTAGGTTTTATTAGCAATAGACAGAGAGAGATTTTTATATTTTCCATTTTATTTTTATTTTAGCTATTTTTAATAATTTTGTTGTTGGTTTTTGACCGTTTTATTTCATTATGATTGTTTTTTTTTTTCTTTTTTAAATATGTGCATTTAGTTTTTAGTTTTAGTTTCAGTAGTCTTTGCACTTCAACTTGAAGTAAACAAAAATTCAGTTAATGTACTTTTTAAAATAATCTTAGTTAACGGTAATAACACTGCGCTCTTGTTCTCACAGCCTTTCTGCTGCAGCTGCTGGTTAAACATTACTTGAACAAATAGTGACTTTTTTGCACTTTTTGTCAATTGGGAAACCTCAGAACTGCATTTAATAATGAGTTTTATGCACAAACCGGTTTCCCTTCACAGAGAAAATTACAAATCGAGAAACAGCCACAGTGTCGTCTTTGGATGAAAAGTAATGGCATGTAAATTTGCTTTTTAGAGTTGCTAATTAGCATAGTAATAGAGACAAATAAAGCTGAGGTGATTTCCATAATGCGCTCTAATGCAACGCCCACTTTCACCAAACCACAGCTGAGATGACACTGATGGAATTAAATTACACCTGATTTTGCAAATTGTAATATGTGACCCTGGACCACAAAACCAGTCATAAGGGTCAATTTTTCAAAACTGAGATTTATACATCATCTGAAAGCTGAATAAATAATCTTTCCATTGATGTATGGTTTGTTAGGATAGGACAATATTTGGCTGAGATACAGCTATTTGAAAATCTGGAATCTGAGGGTGCAAAAAAATCTAAATATTGAGAAAATCACCTTTAAAGTTGTCCAAATGAAGTTCTTAGCAATGCATATTACTAATCAAACATTAAGTTTTGATATTGACATTTGACATTTACAAAATATCTTCATGGAACATGATCTTTACTTAATATCCTAATGATTTTTGGCATAAAAGAATAATCAATCATTTTGACCCATACAATGTATTTTTGGCTATTGCTACAAATATACCCCAGCGACTTAAGACTGCTTTTGTGCTCCAGGGTCACAAATGTTTGTTCTGCATCGCACAAACAAACATGCAAACACCATAAAACGAGTCATTCCAGCATTAGCTTGGCTCTGGTTCTGCGATGAGCACCTGTGTGAGTTGGGACAAACGCACCGGCCGCGTCTTTGTGAGCGCAATACTGCGACCGCAGCGACTCCAGCAACCGTCAGCCAGAAACGCAGGCTTTAGGAAGCCCAGCTTTGAGTTCTGGCTGCACGGCTCTTGCTTTTAACGAGCCTGGACCAGGCTGACGAGGGGTCGGGTGAGGTCAGGGTTTACCCACGCTTACCCACAATCCCCCTCGATCGGCCTCGGTCCACGCACACTCCGACAACCCACTGGCCTTCATGGGGGGAGGCTGCATTGGTGTCGGATCCGCTAGACGTCAGGGACGCAGAGAAACATGCACACATACACACACTAGAGCCATATATTTACACGAGGTTAACAGCAATAGTGCACTTTGAATCATATTCCGTTTGCAATAACTGCATATTTTATTTTTGTACTCAGCCTCATTTATGCATTTATGACTAGTAAGTGTTATTCATTGGCTCCACTGTGAATTCATTTTCTGTTTCCCATGCACTAATTGCTATACAGTGGAATTGCACATTATATACATTAGCATGGATGCCATAACGAATACACAGATATGATGCATGCTTTTCTCTCGTCCTGATGCTCTTTGCTTTTGGCGGCTGGTGTGTGAACGTCTCTG